TATATATATATATATATATTAAGAAAACTTCTTTACTGCAAAACATTAGTCTCCCAAATCAAAGTTATATGGTGCGATGCACTGTACATTGTTCAACATGTTATGCAATTTTTTTCCTTGATGATTGCATTTTGAAGTCGTTCAATTTTTACATTTCTTAAAATGGTATAAAAGCTTTTTAAACAAATCCATGACTACAAAAAGTACATTTTTTGGCACATTAGTTTAAACTAGAAAAAATAATTTAATCTTGAACTTATCTTGTCATAAACATACTTAAAAATATATGCCATTTTAATGTGGAAGAGATGTCCTGGAGCTATCAGAATGTTTGTTTATTTCAGCCATAGTTTAACAATGAGTCATTCTCATATCCCAACTAAATCCCAGTATTAACATAAAATATGTTTAAAGTCATACATTAGGCATAAAATGCAAATATCCCCTGGGAAAGCACTGCAAATTGCTTTGCCATGGGTTTGCATGCTGTCTGTACAAGTCAGCCAATATTTGTGGCCTCTCCTTTATCTCTTAGAGATATATGTAATGAGTTGTTTGTCATTAACATAATGACTCCAGCATGTCCCTGTACTGTTGTAACGTTTGGCCCTATCACTGCCTGTAGATGAACCCCTGGAGTGCTGTCACACAGCCAACCTTTCCCTGTCTTACAAGCTCACTAACAACATATCATAAAAAAGGAATAAATAAAGAGCCATATCATCTACATGTTTTATGGGAAGGGGCTTTAGTTTTAAACCTCGTCTGGCCTGCATAAAGAAAGACACTAGCAACAGAATGGAAAGCAGGGCAAAGGCAACTAGGAAGGAAAGAGAGTCCATATGTGCGATGACGGGAAAGAAATAGAGGAAAACTGAATGATGAGATTTTACCGCCAAAGCCCCTGAGGCTCAGTCTCTCCCCTATAGCTTTGGCAGATCCGGCAGGTTAGTTCATGCCAGCTGATCTCTCTTCATAAGGGAGATTCAAAATCCGCTGGAAAAGCACAGTATTTTCTGCTTGTTGGAATTTATTGTACTTTTTTTTTTGCTTAAGGCACTCTGCCCACCCATGGATAGCCAATGCAGAGTTGGCCGATTTGTGTCAGTAACTTTCCTACAGTCTACAGATCATTTTGATTGTCTCTACGACCAGGTGGCTCTAAAACAAAACCATAATTTCTGATTTCTCCTCATTCTCATCCTGTTTTCTCTTGCAGCAGATCCACGGGTAAGCGAGAACGTCTCAGGTACGTGTTTCTTCTTTGCACCCTATTTCTCTCAGGTGACAAATTCCTATCTGTTGAATAAATGGATAATGTAACGAGCAGTCCTAGTAGAGGAAAGTAAGAAAAAGAATGGGTAAAGGAGCTGTGGAGACTTCCTATGAGTTCACTTCTTCCATACCAAGTTCTCAGCCAGACAAAACATTTACCCAAGAGTGGCAAATGGATATCACCATCCTCCATCCTTGCTCTCAAATAAGGGCCTCTGTACTTTATTGCACTCAATGAGCTGCAAGAATGGGCCAGTTTGATATCCATCTCCCTCGATTTCTTCCTGTGTATTGTCTATTCCAGCCGAAATTGGCAGAATAATGGAACAATGGATATAGAGGGCGAAGTTAGCCAATAGAAAGACAAGCTTATGACAGAAGCCAATGGAAACAGAGACTAATGGAGCAGCCCCTCAGCTCTTAATGTCCAACATGCCTTTGCGAACACGTGTATAAACAAAAATGGGGTCTGTACTCCAGTAATCTTTTCAGACGACCACTGAAAGAAACTATGTTTTGCACAGTCTGTGCCAGAACATAATATCTGGCCTTGTCAATTCATAAAATAACATCTTGGGGTTTCTCGGCATGCCGTTCAGGTAAAGATGCCATTTGGACCCAGTTCCCCTTCAAAACTGACTCCTATTCCGAATGCAACGGGAAACAGTATGTCAAGAGGACGTGGTACCGCAAATTTGTTGGCATCCAACTCTGCAACTCCCTCCGATACAAGATCTACCTGAGCGACTCCCTCAACGGTCAGTCTTTGGAAAACTGATCCATACCTTGGGTTCATTTTGTGCTAGAATAGATTACAAATTGGCAGCTCTTTTCTTCTTTGTCCCTTTAGGTAAATTCTACAATATTGGAGACCAGACGGGTCATGGTGAAGACCACTGCCAGTTTGTGGACTCATTCCTGGATGGAAGAACGGGCACTCAGCTTCCTGCAGACCAGCTACCTTACAGGCCAGGTATTTAAACTACAAGAAACCACAAATATGATGTTACTGTGCTTTTAGTTACGAAATTCAAATACAAGAAATTATATTATGTACTCACCTTTTTGGCATTCCAAACCCAGCATGAGAACCAGTTTACAAAACAATTCCAACTGATTAATTCTTAAGCCGCTTCTGAACTCAGCAAACCATGATCCATTTGCAGAAGTTAAGAGCTCACGAGAGAGGAAGATCATCATCCGGTTATTCACACAAATCTTATTGTATGATAGATATATAAGTCATATAAACCACTTTCATGACATTTTTGCCTTTGCATCCTTTTTGAAGCTTAAAATCTCCAGTTCCCATGTGGACTAATTGCATGGAAAAATGCAACCTGCCCATTTTTCAAAACTGTGTTGAAAGGAGTGAGTAAACAATTCTAATGCTTTTCTTGATGATTTTCAGGCTTCTACAGAGCAATGAGACAAGAGCCAGTCCACTTCGGCCAGATAGGTGGAAATTCCCATATCACCTACGTCGCATGGTACGAATGCGGTACGCCAATCCCAGGGAAGTGGTAGGACCGGAGCAAGTGTCCGCAAGGAACCCTAAAGAGTAACTCTCATTGGTTGGGGTTGGGGTTGGTGCCTGCTAAAGTCACTTGACAGGCTTTTTTACTGTTTCCCCCCCCCCCACCAATGATGGTGAGTTCAGTCACTCCTCAGCCTACGTCACCAAAGTTCATACCATGTATAATAGTGTACAGGATCAAAGAGTCAGGGAATACTTTTGAGTGCATTTGTGACATGTAATAGCAAAACAGTGCCTCATCTTGTTATTTATCATACAGTAACTAGAACAAAGTAATAATAATGAAAAAAAAATAGTTCATTATGAGAAAAACACTTCAGATGCATTGAAGTGTTGAACATAACATAAAAAAGAAAGGTAAAAATACTTGTTTAAATATTGGGAAGCTGGCTCCCTGAAACTATTTTGATATTTTGTGTAATATTATTTATCAAAGTTTGTGGTTTCTTCACTGGCTTTCTTCCAGTGAGAAAGGGCCAGGCTTTCATTAAGCGCTTTAAAGACTACCACCAGAGGCAGCTGTATTAGTTTAGGTCTCTGATATGTCAGATGATATGTATAGCTGGGACTCTTCGCATCATTGCTTTTACGAACACATTGTACTGGCTCAACAAGTCAGGTTACCCACACTAGAATAGACACAATGGACTCAAGACGACGACACGTCTATGTTTACAACGGGTTGGGATGAACATAATCATTGTCTTTACATACGCACACACACCTACACACATGAAACATGCAAACTAACATTCATTTAGATGCTTTGTACCATGGCTATAGTCTTCCAATGTAAGTCCTGGTATGTTTGATGGTTCTAGATTGTAAGGACAACCTTACACTTGCAATTTGCACAGCACAAATATATTTATATGTATATGGAGAGAGTATTTTTTTCAGAAAACCTTTGAGAAAATTTTAAATCCTTCCCCTCAAGCTTGTGAAACACGATACAAGTTTAAATAAAAAACAAAACACTTTTGTTGAGTGTTAACCCACTGAATACTTTCAAGGAGTCTTGAAGATTGTAATACTTCAAGGAGAGCTTATCTGGGTCCCATATTTTGTACAGTTTTATCCCTGCCAAGCCCTTGGCAGAGTTTCTCTGGCTTATCCGTATTTTCATGGAATTTGTTTGTAAGATGAAACTGTTGTTTGTTGTTGTTCTGGATTTGTTTTCTTCTGTATGTATTTTACAATAATAAAAAGCAGAAGTTTTGTTTCTTTTTTAATCCTCTGTGTACTGTCTTTGTCGTAACACCATTTTGTACGGATTTCGAGAGAATACAATGAAACGTAGTCTCTCAGGTGGGTCTGTTAACACTTGGAACTCTGGGAATTTGACCACCATTAAACTCCACTCAACTTGCCTCATCTCACCAACTCAAATTATAAAAATAAACATCAATACATGCTTTACTGCATTACTATACTTTTCCAGAGCTAGAAAAAGAGAAGAGTTTGCCCTGCCAAACCCAATACAGGGACATTCTCCGAAAACCACAAAGCTAGAGTGAAAGAAAGACTATAAAATTCAAAATGCCTCTCGGTGACTTTATTAGGTTTCCAACCAAAAGAAAGAAGGGGAGAGCATATAAGAGAGAGAAAGAAAGATATAAATGTTAGTTTGGGTTGATGACAAAATTAAAGACCGATATACTGTGTCCAAATAAGCACAAATGGCAAAACTATCTGTTTGGTCATAGTTTTCCACAACTTTACATAAAAACGTTGCTGTTATGCAACCTAACGTTGTAGCCAATTGAATGACGTATGTATGGCTATAGAACTTGTTGGGAAATGGGTCTAAAGTCCAGATTGGAATTTTAAGGACAAGAGATTTTACCGGAAGACAAAAATGGAATGACTTTAAGTGGGGTGACGAGGTTCTGAACGGCTCCGACTTCAAATTTTGATAAGATTTACCTAAACTCATCTATTGCAGGCCACCCTCACAACTTTACTTGGCTGTTTTCAACAGCGAGGCATTCACACAAATCAGCAACTCTCTCGCTGAAGACTTTACAGCTCACTTTAATCTTCTCACAGCTGCGTTCAAAAGTAGCCACTGCATGGTCCGTGCCTGGCGTGTCAGCAAGAACGCAGCCAGGAAGAATTAAGCTTCCTGCGACAAGTCCAGTGTCCAATTTAGGTCCCAACATGTGCTGGGAGGACCCCGGGAACGTTCACAAATACACTTCGCTTTGTTATTACAGGGGCTTTGGGTTTACTGACGAGACTTTGGTTGCAAATTTGGGCTTTAGTTTATGTGTGTGCAATGGGTTCGCTCAATGCAAGCCTGAGGGTTGCTAAAGTACTAAGACCTGGCAGGAAAATGCTCGGTTTTCGGTTGTTTTAAGAGGAGCTGTACATACAGGATTAATTCTTGTTTGCAAAGTACTTTTTTTCACACAAATTTCAATGTATAGTGTAACGGGGTGAAGAATCACACAACAAGAAATCTCAATCAATACCCCGGAGGGTGGATTTATTGGGGTGAGGGGTGCTAGTGAGAAAGGTCCAGGTAGGTGCTCCGGTGCTGTGAGTGCTCTCTTCCGTCTTCCCAGTGCAGAGGGTCCGTGCAGTGCTCCTGTGGGGCTGGTCGGTCACACACTGCTGTCTGTGGGGAAAATGAGAGGGCGAGTTAGTGCTCAGTCTCATGGAGGAATCTCCTAGATGGCAGGGCTTGCGTGGCTTATGTAGCCGCCGCCTGATGAGGTGCAGCTGTGACCGATCAGCCTGTGATGATGATGGCCAGGTGCTCCTCGCTTGTTTCCAGGGCGACGCTGATGAAGCCTCGGGACGCTCATCACAATATTTATATTTAAGTAATATTTATGGGCTTTTTTGGGACAGGACAAGACAGTACAGTAGAGAGATGACAGGAAAGCATTGGTTGGAGAGAGGGGAATGGGATCGGCAAAGGACCTCAAGATGGGAATCGAACTTGAGTCGCTGTGAGTGCAACTGCGCCGAATGTTGATGCACTAGCCACAAGGCTATCATCGCCACCTTTTTTTAAGATTTATTTTTGGCGTTTTTTGCCTATATTGCAATAGGACAGTATGTGAACAGGAAAGTGGGAGGGACAATAAGGTATTGAGTCTTACTGAAGTAACTGGGATTAATTTTGATTGGGTTTTAAAGCCCTAAACTGTGCGTACAAACCAAAGGGTTTAAGATTTAAGATTTAAGATTAATGGGGAAGAGAAATGAATGTGCTGACTCTCAATCCGAACCAAAATAAACCCCACAAAGCATATGAAAACGTGCTGTGGTCATTTTCATGGCTCATTGGAGTACTGCTGAATTGCTCTCTTTTTATGTGTATGTGCACATGAGTGTCCTTGTCACTAACTGTCCTCAATCAGCTGTGGTGAGATGGATATATATGTGGTTTTAACCACAGACACACATGCACATAGACACAATAACCAACTCAGCATATTTTCAATGTTATTTAGAAACGGTCACATCTACTTTCAAGGGCTAACAGAACATACTAAATAGCCAAAAATTGACCCTTTGACACTGACTCCCAGACTTAACTGAAAACCAGCCAATTGGATTGAAGCTTTCAATATGTAGCACACGGTCTATGAACAGCAGGATAGATGAGCACTGAAAAGACTCAGTCTTTAACACAGAACTATCCTTCACTAGTTTTGTCATTTAGCCCATCCTGTTTTGAAATGTAAAAGTTTCTCAGTCCCCACCCCCCTCCTCCCCTTTTTTTCTTGGAGGAGTCCATTTGTTTTCTTCTTTTTCCTCTTCAAAGACTTAAAACCAGATGTGCATGTGCATTTTGTTCACAAGATGCTTCAAAACCAAGATGGAAATATTGAAGTGAGTGTTCTTTATGAACACTTCAAACGTTTTAATAACCAGGTTTTTTTGTTGTTATTTTTGCTCATAAGCACCACAAAAGTTCTGTTAATGCCTGGGAATTAAATTCAAAAAAGTAGTTTAAATATTCTAAAGCTAGAGGAAAACATGGTGTCTCACATAGTGTTTGAATATTATTTTCTCACTGTTGTCTTCTAAATGTAACCATAGTCACACAAACATAACAAACAAAGCTATTTATATAGTTAGTGTGAATCTTAATTGAATTGGTCACATCCCACAGGATCTGAAACTGCAATTTGGCATCCTGCAATTGATTAAAATACATTTCAAGGAAATTAAAAAATGATCATTTCATTAGAGCAACACGCTTTGGCATTACTCATAAATTCAAATTATGCAGTATTATATCCTTAAATAATAATAATAATAATAATGAATGAATAATAATAATAATAATAATAATAGTTGTTGTTGTTGTTATTATTATTATTGTATTATAATTGTATTATTATATATTATAACAGTACAGCTACATTGTTATTTTAAAATACTAAAAATATGAAAAATAATAAAATCCACTATTACTACAATTTACTATTAACATTTACCCTTAAATTAAAGCTCAGAGAGTGCACTTTAAGCTAGGGCTGGGTTTTGACACAAATTTCTCGATTCAATTAGATTCTCATTCACAAGCTTGCGATTCGATTAGATTACCAATTCGATTAGATTCGATTCAATATTGATTATTTGGGATATATATCAGGTACAGTACATACCAAATTTTCTCAAGGAAAAAAAATCTCTCAACTAATGCTGTAAAATGCTGAGTCAGTTGGTACTAGATGAGTCATTCCACGAAACCGGTACGATTTGGGCTTTCACATTTTTTGATTTTTTTTACCCAAAAGTATTACTTTTCTGAACACCCCACAACATTAATGACATATTTAACTTCCAGAAAAACATATTTTCCCACCTCAGGCATCAAATCCCTATTATTATTGGTCATTATTTTAAGATATGGGCACTATTAGTCTTCAACCCCGTTATGGACACTATGGGAGCTATTCTGTCCATTGTATTGCATTATTCAAATAATAAATGCCGTTTTGTGGAGTGATCGCTGTAGCGCGGCGCCTCAGTTCAATAAAAGCGGCAGCACGAGGCACACGTGAACTGATCATCTCCTCCACATTAATACCAGTTTCTGCACAAAATAAACATGACTAAATATCCGAAGGTAAGTTAAAAGAAAGAGTACAATTTTACCATTCCTATCCTGTCTCATGTAATCGATCAATCAGTGTTTCAGCCGCACAAAGACGCACTATAACAGCTTGTAAACAATGTCATGTAACCACATTTACCTCAGAAAAAAAAACATATTCAGTGACCATAAAGTCATTAATCAGAAAAATAAACTGTAGAGGGGCATTTTGCTAAATATATGCACCATCTAATATATTCATTATAACTTTTACTGTTCTTCAAAGTGTAATTTATATTTTTTTATGATAGCCACCATTTAAATGTTTATATTAAAAAAAAAAAAAAACTATTGAAGTAGAATGTAATCGATCAATCAGTGTTTCAGCCGCACAAAGACGCACTATAACAGCTTGTAAACAATGTCATGTAACCACATTTACCTCAGAAAAAAAAACATATTCAGTGACCATAAAGTCATTAATCAGAAAAATAAACTGTAGAGGGGCATTTTGCTAAATATATGCACCATCTAATATATTCATTATAACTTTTACTGTTCTTCAAAGTGTAATTTATATTTTTTTATGATAGCCACCATTTAAATGTTTATATTAAAAAAAAAAAAAACTAATTGAAGTAGAATTATTATTATGTAATTGTAACTTTGATTATAAAAACTTTAATTTAAGCAGTTGTATAGCCTAAAAAATCAGTCAGTTTTAACCTTCAATGTTATAGTAATGTAGTACCAACTGACTCTCATGTATATTTTACAGCATTAGTTTTTTTTCCTTGAGTAAATGTTGCATGCGTACCAGATATATATCCAAAATAATCGATATTGAATGGAATCGCAA